CATACGCGACATAATAACACGTGCCGCATGGAGTTACAAACTTACAAACAAACAAACATACATGTGAAACTAATATAAGCGTGTTAAAAATAAACCTATTGTCTTTTTCTATTACATATTTAGGTCTTAATATACCTATCAATTTATTCTATTCACAATATCTTTATTATCAAGTCCTTAATTGCTATAGCTGGGAGTTTTTAAATATTATTAACTAACAGAGTATGTAATTAACACGCTTATATTAGTTTCACCTGTATGTATGTATGTATGTTTGTAACTCTCCAAACACCACGCGTTATCGCATATTCCGTCGTCTAGACTAGACTGTCATAACGCATTCACCCCACCCCACGCCTCGCTCATCACACGCCGGCAATACTATTCCTGTATAAATTTATTTTTGGTTATCGTACCCGTACACACGTGCGTGTTATCAATATTATATATATATAAACAAATTTTTATTTTGACTGACCATTATCATCCGCGTGCATACGGCTTACGTATATTTTCCTACCGCCGTTTATACCTCAGGTATAACGTTAGTCCGACCCGCCCGCCAACAAAACACGACTGTACCTAATGCATAATACGTTTACGTACTTAAGTCGCTTTACATGTATATACAGAGTGTTTGTACAAACACTCTGTACAATTTGACAATCTGTAAAACAATTTGTTTGTAACAATGAGAACAATAGAAACCCGTTTCCTGACTTACTGAACACTCTGTATATATATTCTAATTACTATTAAAAATATATATTAACACACTTTATTCTTATTTAGAGATATAGAACTCATTCATTCCGATTACAAAGGATGAATCCAGTATCATCATTTTTTGTCACTACCTCCATGTTCCGGGAGTGGGTAATTTACGCGTCTGCTGCTTTCCTTGGATGTGGCAGCCGTTTCTCAGACACCCTCCCCGGAATCGATCCCTGTTTTCGCGTTACCCGTTACAACCAAGATATTGATAGTAACTACTATCATAACATGAAACTAAAAAGTGAAAAATAAATATAGTTTAAAAAAACTAAAAAAACACGCTTTTAAAGCACATCGAACTAAAAAGTTAAAAATAATTTTTAAAATAATACTAGTATTTTTTATTCATAATTATTTTAAAAATTATTTTTAACTTTTTAGTTCGATATGCTTTAAAAGCGTGTTTTTTTAGTTTCTTTACACTATATTTTTTTTTATTTCATCCAATGCTAAATTTTTACTTTAATAGGCTAATTGTATAATAGTGTGTAACACATTATAAAATTTTTTTAATATTCATAATTATTATTAACAGTTAATAATTTATACTCTATTAATAAAAAAAATATACTAAAAAAACCAAAAACTTTTATTTCAACTTTATGTCTATTTAAATCTACTTTTGAGCTAAATCGTGCTGACGGGTCTAATCTCTACCTCTTTAGTAGTTCACTAATTTCAGGGATTGGGTCTGACAAGTGTATCAACTGGAAGACTCGAGAAGAACTAAAAATATAACGAACTCGTCGTCAATGAAGATTTTTTAATTTGTGTACGACTTTTTGTGTCTACGTCGGGGCACTACCGACGTACGACAATTTATTCAACCAAAATTTTTATGTAAGTGAATATAAAAATTTATTGACTATTACTCAGCATAGAATGTTAACTTTATAAAATAATTCATATATCTTGCACTTTTTATAACAATTTTATGTAACTTTTAGCACATATTCATTTTAATATAGGCCTCCAATGATCGTAAATAATATAACTTCAGAAAATTTATTAGATTAGTTACTATATTTACTATTTAATGTATCAATCTTAATTAAAATAAATGTTAATATATTATTTGTAAAAAAAAAACTTAATAAAAATAACGAAATGGAATTCTTTAATCAACACTATAATGAAGGTCAAACCTATCAATCAGTAACCAGAGTATACACATCGTAGCTCAGGTATTTATTAATTTATTAAAGGACCAATCGAAAGAATAGTGTACGACAATATTTGAGTGAACATGTAATTTAAATGAGCTTTGTCCAAACTGTACAATTTAAGAACGCAATAAACGAATATCTCACAAAAATTATCATCTTTCGAGATATTGTTACACTTGGACATGGATGTAAAATCCTATTTTAGTAATAAACCTATTGCTTTCTTATTTAATGAAATAGCTTTTTATGCAAAATATGACGTAGAGTTGGAAATGAGAAAATACTGTTTTTAAAACTCTGTTTTTGCTCAACACAGAATATGATTGGGGGCATATGTTATGGGAAAATAAATTAAGCGACAATAGTATAACAAACAAATCCTCACAAATATACACTGTTGACTGATGAAGGTCAAACCTATCAATCAATAACTGAAGTATACACATCGTACACTATGTGGTCTACAATCAACTCTGTCGTGTTAAAAAAATTAACAATCAATTAATTATAAATTAAATGAAAAATAATCAACAATACAAGGGTCGTAACACGACGCAATTAACCCCAATTGTTAATACTAAATATAAAAAATGTTTCAGACAGAAAGATAGATGTAAAAGTAACAAAAAGTACAAGAACTCTTATCATATTCATCTCAACAAATGGCAATAAGAACACAACAAACGATTTTTTTTGAAACTACAATTGTGATCACAATGCAACAATATATATGACATTATACAAATACTAATGTACTATTTATCAAATTATTAAATGATCAATCGAAAGAATAGTGTACGATAATATTTGAGTGAACATGTAAATACTCGAGAAAATCCTACATAAAAAAAAAAAATTGTGAAGACTACGAACAAAAAAAAAGCCACCCTTACTTTTTTGCTTATTTAATATTACCATCTCTTAAATGTATAAAAGTAATGAAAACATTATATATTTTAACCTTTGACACCAATTCATTTAACACTATTGTAGATACTAAGCCCTTTAAACTAATGAGTACAATACAATTTTTGTTAAAATTATGCACACTCATTAATATGCACTGTTCGCGCTCGTTATCACGCGATTAAGCGATACCAATAATAATGATGGTTGCCGACCAATATAAGACCAGTTATGCTCGATATACGTACGCGCGCGGACAAATCGCCAGCTTACAATAAAATATTTAATAAAAAGATACAGTCCACAATTAATAAACATTCGTAATTATCAATTTATTTATTATACATATTGAACCAGACGCAACATGCACCATAAGGGCATTCTTTCAAAAAAACAGGGATATATTTTGCAATATACTCTTCAATTACCTAAAAACTAATACATTTCAGCTACGACCAACAAAGATATACTGACGCCGCTGAAGCGTGTAACCATTTAATTATTGTTTACATAATCCTTACCGAGCAATTAATTAGCTCTTACAGTTTCACATAAAAATTAGCAATAATCAGCATATTAATCGTCATTAATAGTTTACATATACTAAACAAACAATATTACAATACAAATCGCTCCTTACACCGTATTATAAATGGCACCTTTTTTTTTAATTAAATACATTTTATTGTCATATTAACGTTTATTATTATGATTTTATATAACAGACCTAAAAGCCCTCGAGGACCTGATCTGTCTTTTGACATCCGTCAAAGACTCGTTCTAGTTTTTTCTATTCTTGTGAATATTGTGCTTTAACACATGTGACTTGGTGTCTTATTATAAATATAAGTCTATGATTTAATTTAAGATACATTCTTGTCAAAATAACTATTTATTCATTTATAATATACTCTTCTGTAATATTCTATTTTTATTCAACACCTGATAAACCTTCACTAATCATCTCTCCTCTAAATACTGTGGACTATGATTTTTGTTGTCAAGAAACATCAAGTAAGAGTAGTTTCAACACACTAACTAAAATTACACTAATTTACAACAAAATTGACCTATGACTTATGATAGTCATTTTTTATGTAAAATTATCCACTGAGTTGAAAGTAAAAAGTAGAACAGTTTTTGAGTTATTGTGAAATTAGCGTTTTTCGTGTGCCGCGAAAAAGTGTTTTCATTATATTCTAAATATCTTTCATTGCATTCAACCGATTTTCATTTTTTTTACATAAAATTGAACAATATTAAATTACCAATAACTTTTATCTCAAACAATTATTTATCTGACTTTTTTCTCGTTTGCTATCTACGAATTTACCAATGAATTTTTATCATTTTTTTCAAAATGTCAAAAATATTCAGAGTTTTATGTAAAACACACCAATAAAAAATACATTAATCAATAATATATTCAATAGACATTATACTCTAATACATAACAAAGAAAATGATATAATATTTTGTAATATTGATTAAACAAATGAAGAAGTTATGCGTGATTGAAAAATAAAACAAATTTCCTAATATTGAAATATTTGTTATAAAAAATATTGAAAAATTACTCACAATATTACTTTTCAAAACAAAATTCACTTCTGTAGAACTGTGTAATTGAAAGAACTCGTAGAAAAGGGAATGTGAAGGAAACCTAGCTGTCTTATTTGAAAAATAATTATTATCAATTGATAAACCTGTAAATTAAATTTTGTTTTTTAAATAGTTTTCTAAATCAGATGAAAACTTATTAGGAAATTGGGTTGGGATAAACTTACCAATGGCTTGAAAAACTGTCATAAAATATTCAAACTACTCGATTGACGTCACATTTATGAAACATATATATCCAGTCGACGGAGGTGAGATATAAATTTAACTTGTAATTATCACGATTATCAAAATTATAATTTGCATTTGAAAATAAAAGAGATTTGGAATTTAAAGAAGGATTTACAATGAGAAGAAGAGAATAATGAAAATCAATTTTAAGTAAAGGGCTATGAGATAAGGAAACACATAATATAACTTGGCAAGAAAATTTTCAAAGTTTTATATGATTATTCATATATATAATTTCTAATTCTATATAATTTTTATCATTTTGATTTTATATTATATACAAATTCAATACAATAATTCAAATTATTTATCTTTTTCATCTTCTGCTACTACAAAAAATACATCACTAGAATAGATTTTATCAAAGGGCATAAATGTATGGTTGAATTTAGACAAATAATCTTGAGCCAGAAATTTGAAGAAGAATATATTTCCTCCAATTCCTTCAAATAACGTGGTCATTTTTGATAGATATTGTGAAAGATCGTCAATATTTTTTTTTTTATTTTCCAATCTTCAAAGATTATTTGTTTATGTGATATTGCCTTATTTTTTTCAAGTACATTTTTATATTCAGTTCCCGCAAGGTCTCTAATACAAGGTACAAGTATTAAATTCAGTTGATAATCTAATTTCGCTAATGATGACCACTTAGGGTGATCACTCTCACAAAGTTTTAATATTTCATTGAATATATTATCATTGTAATCTAAAAATTTGATAATCTTTTTTAATGGCTCACCAAGCGATTGCCATAATTCTTTGACATTCACATTTTTATATTGCTCTTGTATAACAGAAACAAATGATTCAGTTTCTACGATAACATTTATGCCCGATTCATTCCAAAATGCGTTTAAATGAAATGCAATATGTAGTAAAAAATGTGTATAAATAATATGCTGAATCCTCCAATGAAGTTCCAAGAAGACATGTGGTTCGATAGCCCACATACCGTTAGAATAAATGTTCATTACGTTATTTTTATATTTTTCTATAGTCATTTTAATCTTTGTTCAATTATACAAATTACTTAATGATGTTTGAAAAATTTCTTCCTGAAAATTATCCATTAAAAATTGTAGAGTAATATTTTCTAGAGTAAGTAAAGTATGCTATAAATATTTTCAAATTCTTCATTATCGCATAAATGTTCAACTAGGATTTTAATTTCATTATTTTTTAAATTATTTGTATTAAAAATTTCTATTTCCGGAACAAGTTTTTTTTGTTCACATTCCATATAAAATGTATTTAAATCAAAATCTTTAAATGTGAATGCTCTTGAGAAAAAAAATTTATTTAGAACTATATTATTTTCTTTAACTACAGCTAAAAGTTTCATATAAATTGAAAAAATCCAATTATTTGCTTTAATATGATTATAAAACAATATCGATAACATATTTTCTACATAAGTTTTGTATACTTTAAATCCTTTTATTTTTTTTGGGTCTGGTTTGCCATCAATTAATAGAAGATCATCTATAATTTTCCTTTCGATGTACTTCAGTATACATGAATTTTGACAGTGTAAAAATTCTATTCTTTTATTGTACTTTTCTCGTAGTGTTTCCTTTTGTCGAGAATTTAAAAGTCTTATATCATTTTCTAAAAAAATTAATTCATTGTCTTCGGTTTTAAAAAGTTTGTTTAGGAACAAAAGGTGTTTTTCGTTTAATACTCGTCTCTTTTCTACTAGTTTTAAAACACCATACTGTAAAAATAATAAATTTATACTGTTTATTAATTGATAATATTTCAAGTACTTATATAATTAAATTTTCTTAAAAAAAAAAAAAAAAAAAATGCATTTTCAATAGATAAGTTATTATTATTTAAAAAAATTATTAGTTCAATTTTGTTTATTATCCCAAATTTTGCTTTACTCGATATATCCTGTACAATGAGTGTGTGCAAAATTATTATCGTATGTATGAATTAATTTAAAATTATTCTTTTTAAAGTTCTAAACTATTTAATTCATTTAATATTCATTATAAGAAAGTATTTTATAATCTTAAAAATATTAAATATAAAACATATAACGTTTTTGGAATATGTTTTTAAATTTAGCTGCACTCAAAATGCAGCTAACTAATACTTATTTTACTTAAAAATAAAAATTTGATATTATTTAGTTTAGCATATGTATGTATAATAGACATATTTTCAATAGAATAATTTATATACATGTATTTCAGAAGTACTAGCACTTTATATTTAGATTGAGAGCATAGTAGGTGCATAGTAAAGATGAGGCATATTTAGGAGAGATATAGAAGTGATTTTAATCACTGTTATAAAACACCACGATGTGTATGTATTTGAAGATACATTTCACTAATATAATTTTTAACTCAAGTAATCAATAAGATACAATATTTGAATAGTTATTTTTTTAAATAAAAGTTAATTGTATAATCAACAAAATAATATAATTAATTTACATGGAAGGTTTCGAATAAAGATAAAATATTTTCTTGGAATCAATTGATAATCTAAAATTTTTGTAAAGAATAAAAATAATTTGATTTAAAAATATCAATTACAATATATAGTTAAATAATTTTTTTTTCTCCCTTCATGGTTAAAAAATGTAAAATTTAATTTTCTCTGATGGGAAAAAAAAAGTTGAACAGAACAATATGACTATGAAAATGTTTATAAAATTCAGTTCATTTAATGTTTTTTTATTCGTTGATCCGTTCTTCTGTTATTGCTTGTTAAAGTTTATTGAATTTTAACTAATTTCCTTTATATCAAATTAACAAGTTTTTATTGACGCTTATATTTATCATATCCGTCACTTACATTAGTAAGAATAAATACCGATAATAATGTATCATTGAATCAGATTGTTGTTGCCTTTAGTATTATAAAAGCAAATAAATAATGATTTTTTTTTTTAATCCAAATCTTTAAAAATATGAAAACACAAATATTTGATCAGATAAAAAAAATTGTATGAATACAATTGTATACAATTTAATCAAACCAAAAATAGGGTTTCCATTAAAGAAAATTAATGTTAAAATTTCTTATTTCTGAAGGGATAACAAAAAAAATCATTGAAGAGCATATTACACAGTTTATACAAAATTTGGATCATGGATGTTCATGAAATTTTTGATTGTGAGTATAGTCGGCCCTCGGCCTATAAAAATATGTTTTTCAGAATTTTTAAAAGGTTAAAGTATTCTATATGACTTTTTTTTTTTTTATTAATGTCTTTGTTATTATTATTTCTACATAAAATGTTATGAATATGTTAAATGATTGTTTAATGAGTCACTTTTAACAATCAAACTCAAATGTCTATAAGTCTATAAAAACGGTTAAATTTGACATATAAGCCCCAAATTTTACAAAACTTTTTTTTAATATCATTCAATTATATTAGAAAAGTTAAAAAAAATACATTATTTTGTAATTTCTAAAATGCATTCATTTTATTCTTTATTAACGCTTAATTACTAAATAATTATAATTTCAAAAACTATATGTGATGGAAAAATAAAAAAAAATATTTGAATTCAGCATCAATATTCGAGGTTCAAAGGATTGTTATAATGACGTATTTTTATTTGGTCATTAATTAAAAATAAAACATTTTATTGGGCATGTGCCTAGAGCTGACTTTGAAAACAAGTAGGCACAGTCCTTAAGCTGTGCATATCACTGCAATAGTTGAAAAATGTTATTTAAATATCCTATACAGAAAACTTCATGTTATTATTATTTTAGAAAAAATAGATTCATCACTAATAAATCAATCGCTCTGCACATCTAAAAACTACAATATATAAATGTAAATAACAATATTCTAGATATGATTTTAATGTAACCCTAAGAATTTAAATATATTCACAAACTAAAATTAGTTTTACCGGAGATATAACAGTATTCAAGACTTGTGGTACAGATGAAACGGGTAAAAACAGCACAATTGCTAAAACAAATTGCATAATAACATTCATTTTAGTAAAATTTATCTTAAAAAGTTCCACCTAAATGTTTAAGCTATTCCTAGATGTTTTAGATATAGATAGCTCAAATTAATATCCATCTATATTTATTAATATTAACTGAAAAATTAATGATATTTTAATTTTTATATTATACGTCATAGTTCTTTTACGAAAAAAAAACACGCTTTATCTGTTCTTAAAATAATATATGGTTTAAATTATTTATTTTATGACTTTCAATGATATTAAATTTACTTTTATTTTTGTCTTTGGTTATAAATGACGACAAAAGAAAAGAAAAAAATAATTATAATAAATGATTCTCATTAAAATTTAAATTACATTTAAAATTAAATAATTGTCTTTCTATGTAATAGAATTACTATATTATTAAACATGTAATTTTTCATAATGATTTGGATTTTGACTAAATCATTCTTATTACAATACTGTATTTAGCAGATTTGGTGTAGTAATACATAGAGACGTTTAAATTGTCATTAACATTAATTTAAAATAAACTTGTTAACTGCATTTTCACTGTTTCATAAGATTAAAATTTCCATAAAATATGACTAGGAGCTTTAACTTAAGCTAATATACAATATGATAAAAAATTTAAATCAGAAGTTAGATTCACATTTACTTTTTATGATTTAATATTTTAATCAATTTAAAAATAACAGTTACCTTGTCTAACTAAGAGAAATGTCTATTAGATTATTGTTTACCGTGAATGTTTTAAATTTTATATGTAATTGGAAATATTTCAAGTGATATTTTTCAAAAATGAATGTTTCGTACTTTGTAAAATATTTTATTGTAAAAAAATTATAATTTATTTTGAAATATGAAATAATGTGATTGTTTTATGAAATTTGTAAATAAATAAATTGTTACTGTACATTTTATTTTTTACCCATAAGAAGTTATAAGAACTAAGTTATGAATACTTCATCTAATAATATTTCAATGCTAAAATTTATAACTTAAATTACTTTTTAGACAATACGTGATCAAGTAAGTGTCCTGTGCAATTTCACAGGTTCGATTGGCAATTACGATTAGCTAAAATAAGGTACCTCAATGATGCCTTAAAAAAATGGCAATCTTCGGAGAGGTTTAGTAGAAAACATTTTTTAAATATTTGATGACAATTGAATACCTTTTGAGTTGTACAATATTTTTAAATGTATACTAATACAGAAATAGAAGAAGGTGTTTAAAAAAAAAAAAAAAAAATTATAATTTAATAAATACGCAATAACGTATAATTGGCACGGTACATCTAACATAATAATTTAATAACAATAATGATAATAATAGTAATAAAAAAAAATAATAATAAACGTATACTATACATACTATACTAAATCTTAACATTAAGAACACGAAAACGACTTGTGTCATGTAAATTGATTAACTACAAATACTAAAAATTGTTACGTCAAAACACATTGTGTATGTAGAAAAAAAAAAGAAATAAAAAGAAATTCGCCTGGTACGACGGTGGTAAAGTATTACATTGATGTCGTTGTGTTCCATTGGTCGTCTACTGGTTTGGCAGCTTCTATTGACCCAGCAGTATTTTGCGCAAGCTCTAAATCATTCTCGGCTAGCTTGGCTACAATTCCAGCACCATAAGCGTCACCCATCACATTTACAGTCGTCCGGAATCGATCACTAAACAAATCAATTATAATATTCATTCGTTAGATATGTTTAAAATGCTTCTAATTAAAAAAAGACACACGACTTCCATGTACTAAAGTTACTACATCAAAATTGTTTTCTATTGGTTACCGCTTAGAATAGATGGTATGCTGTAACGAATTGTAATTTTTAACATTATACTCACAGTAACCAATCCACAGCAATGATTAAAGACACGTCTTTAGCGGGTAGTCCAAGCGTATCGAGGACCATGACCATGGTAACAAGTCCCGCTTGAGGAATTCCAGCGGCTCCGATACTGGCCATGGTAGCTGTTACACTGAAATGAATATTTTCATATTAAATAATATTTTCACACAATTAAGATTTTTATCGTATATAAATATAATTTTTCAAGTTAAAAATCATTTTTAGTTGTAATTATCGTATAGTGCAGATAAAATCTCGCCATTATTATCATTGTTTTGTTTTTGTTTTTTTTACATACAAGTACAAGATTAAAGCTTTTACTTGAATGGTTAGGTTAAATTGAAGTCTCGTGTTATTACATTACACTTAAATTTTTAATTACAGTAAAAAAAGGTATAGTTTATAATATGTATGGTAGATAAATGTTGAAAATATTATTTGATTTAAACTACTACATATTTTTTTTAGTTTTCAGACGCATCTTAAATTTAAAAGAAATAAAGATTTTTAAGTGTCAGTTAAATTTGAATTTGATTTTTTGACGGATTATTCAAAATGTATTGAAAAATAAAAAGTTTCAATTGAAAAAATAAATCAAAAAGAATCAATTTTATTATGTAGGTACTTGTACAATTGTACCAGAATTTCACCTGACTGTGATATGATCGAAATTTTGAGAAATTAACTCACCTGACAGCAGCAATTTTACCCATACTGAGTTCCATGCCACGTAATTGAGAGATGAATATCGCTGCTACAGCTTCGTAAAGAGCTGTACCGTCCATGTTGATGGTGGCTCCAATGGGCATGACGAATCGCGATACCCTAACGTCGATTTTGTTATTTTCCTCTAGACACGCCATCGATATAGGAAGTGACGCAGAACTAGATACAATTTTATACGGAATTCGAAATGAAAATTATTTTTCATCATTGAAACAAAATTGATGGATGTCTTTACCTGGATGCTGTACCAAAAGCAGTAATGATGGCCTGTCCCATGTTCATGGTAAATGTAAATGGCGAACGACGAGTAAACGCTGTGTACATTAACGGCAACAGAACAAATCCGTGTACAAATAGACCGAACACAACAGTGATAAAATACAACCCGAGTCGCCCAATTAGTACGCTGAAATTGGTTATCTCCAAAACTTTAGCGGCCACCAAAAACAGAACACCAATCGGCGATAGCCTGAAACGGTAAAAACGTCAAATTAAAGTATATTTATTTTGCTCTAGATAGTAAAAAAATGTGTTTCTTACCAAATTACCCAGTTTGTCATAAGCATCACGGCTTCACCGAGTGAATCAAATAGGGCCAAAATGGGTTTACCGGCATTTCCTAATTTTCCGATACATATACCGAAAACAACACTGAATGCTACAAGACCCAATACGTTACTGCCTTCAACCATTTCTGAAGAAATTTTCCATTCGGATATCGTTTCTAAACAAAATAATGATAAAGTCAATACACATTGAACATAAATTTAATATGATGGCTACACACATAAGGACTAGAATTTGTCATTCTAAAATTAAATTTGATAAATATTTTAAGAGAACATCTGACAATGATTAAAATCACTACCATAAGAAACTCTTCGATGCAAATCTATAGATAATTATTAAAAAATTGGTGGATATTCCAATAGCAAAATGAACTCCTATTTTCTTATTTATAACCTGATTGCAAATTTTATCATATATAGGTGTATTAAATGAATAAATATTTATTACTTTTAAATTTATTTATTATTATATTTGTTCAACTTCGACGACCATTTGCAAGTAGAAGATAAGTCATCTTATATAAAAAAAATTATATTCATTCCTTCATATTGGAAAAGTCATGTCAGTTTTAAGAAAAAAAAAATGAAAAAATATCGAAATTTACCAATTTTAAAAATTATATTTCTCGGGGGGATTTCCCTCAATTACACTAAACAAGGAAAATGTTTTCAATTTTTAAAGGAAATTTCATCAATTAAAGACGATTTGTGATCTTTTGACGTATCGTTGAAAGAAATTGGTTCAGTGAGAGCTGAGAAAAATTGTCGATAGGCATAAAAAAAAATCCACATCATAGTAAAATTAATACCTTATCAGTTTCGAATCGAAGATAAAATTGAAAATCTGAAAATATACACAAAGTTACTTAAAAATATTTTTAGGTCATCATGGGAATTATTGAATAGCAATTTAAATTTTAACATTTTAATAGCTCATTTTTGTACTGTGGTTTTTTTCTTATTTGTTGCGCATAGCGATTTATTAAGTGGTATAATTTGCTTATTTTGGTAGTTAGTATAAAATAAAATATAAAAATTCTTCAATTCAGACTAATTATGGGGCAACTTCCAAAATATTAATTATAGAAATTAATCGAGAATATTATAATTTTCGATAAATTCATTTAAAGAAATGAATAATTAAATTGATGTACACTTTAAATTATTCAAAGACATTTATAATATACCCAAAAATATTTATTGGAAATATTAATAAAACTCTTAACGGAACATACAAGTACAATAAGCAATGAAAAACTAACTACACTTCAGACTCATTATTATATAAATTTTATTGAATATTATAAAAACACAAGTGAGGTGTGATATTATTACGATATATTAAAATATATAATGTAAAATAAAAACTTTTACCTCTGAAAAAATCTTTTCAATAATAAATTAAGCAGATGTTATTATGTTTTAGTTCAACAAATTTTCAATAAGTCACACCTATTAATAAATAGCCTACAGTCGTTTTTGTAAAATATATGTTGAACATTTTGCACTTATCTCTAATTATTTTCATTTGATATTATATATGCACTGGTGCCAAACCAGGGGTGCTAAAAGTACAATTCACCCCCCAAAAAAAATTGATTATTACAATTATGGTTATGTAAAATGTTTTATTAGTGTAAACAATTATATTCAGCACTCTCAAAATTACTATTTTTGTTTGTGAAAATGATAATATGTAATAATTAGTCTGAAAATATGCAACAGAAATTATATTTTTGTCTTATTTCCTAATTTTTTTTTTATGTACTAATGATTTTTGACGAATAATTAAATAAAAACAGCAATACTCATATTTTTATTGATGGGGAAAAACTGTCTCAAAGTCCTAATTGTAAAAAAAATAAAATTATCGATACAAATTTAACTGATATTAGAAAATGATCTAGTAGAGAAAATGACTGGCCGGTAAAAAATTCTAATTATACTGATGAAAGATGAAGCACGGGCTATTTTTTTGATTAGCCAAAATCAAGTTAATCCAATGTTATGAAACAAGACGAGGGGATATAGCTAAATATTTTTATAAAAATTATAGTGTATATATTAATATATTACATTTAAATAACAAAAGTTTAAGTAAAAAATTTCCTTTATATTTTTAATGATATCATGAGGAGTAGTTGAAGAATCACTCTGTAAACTGTATACAGAACGATCATAGTATGTCCCATTATTTTCTGACACCTGTAAGAAATTCCTATCTAGCGAAGATTTTGAATTAAATATTTTTTTTTTATTATTATTTTTACGGTATTGAATTACGATGAAAATATATTTTTTGTTATTTATTTCTAAACATTTTATTTTTAACTTCTTCGATATTTTATAGTTGCCATTTAGTATTATTTTTCTTACTAAAAATATTGAATAGTTGATAACAAGTTTAGGATGAGTACTTATTGAGTAACAAACATTTTAATACAGAAAGTGGTATTTAGTGCAGATGTGTACAGGTCGTATTGGTGTACGTGATTCCGCCTGCGCTACCCATTCAATATATTAAAATGCTTGTAATTCAATAAGTACTTACACTAAAGTTGTGTTGGGCTCATAAAAATGTATTGTAATAATAGGAAGGGCTACAAATGGCTATATTCAAAAAATTATTATTTTTCTTATTAGAGAGAAATAATAAAAAAAAATGTTTTTAACGTATCCGGAAACTGTAAAATTTATTTTTAAAAAAAGTAACACAAAATATTGGCTAGTACAAAAGTTACTAAAGATATCAGAACATGACGTGTACCATGTAATTGTATATTAATGTCAGCACAGTTTTACCAATTGATCCAAAATCATGTACTTTAAACCAATATTGTTTGGAATAGAACTGTTCGTATACAGTTCCTGTCTAGAAATTAATTACATACCATGCACCCAAAGAAAAACCTCAATCAAAATTGAAAGAGAAATTTTATCAAGGGTTTATAATAATGTTTTATTAATACGAACAAAATAACTATTCTTATAAATAATTATTGTTCAAGACAAGAAAAAAAAATATCATATTGATAAATATATCATTGATTCAATAGTAATGATATATTTATCAAATTGAACAATGAATTTATTATATAGATCGAGGTTTTTCTCTGGGTGTGCTGTGGGGTAATTTCAGATATTTATTTAAACATTTTAAATACAAATATTTTATTGAACGCTCTTGGGAAAATTTAGAAAATAAGCCATAGACTTGGACAGTAATACTGTCGTACATATATTATTTTTTTAGAAGAATTATTCCCAAGATGCAAGAGAATATTTCCTACTTCAGGAATGTTCCTGGGAAATATTGCCAATAGTGGTACATCACTATATAAAACTAAAATAAATAGGTTTGGTACATTTAATAATATTTGATCTGTGATACACTTACCAGGAGAAGTACCACTGCTGTTATACACAACTCCTGGGGGTACTACTAATACAGTTCGGTACTAAAAAATAAAAAATAGATCCTTATTACTGCTCATGTAAATAAAAAATGATTTTTTTCAAATTGGTTTTGTTCCGTACTCACGGTAGATATGCATCCTTCGATGAGATTGTCCAAAAATATGTTTCTACAGAAAATATCGGCACGTGAATTATTTTACCGCAACAGAGTATTTTTAAAGTAATTCTTATAGAAAATACGTCGATTAATTAAAAACGTACCTAATCAGATCCAAAATGGTGTCTGGTGTGGTAACGGGTTTGACGGAAGACGTGTCTGCCTCCTCGGTGGTGTCCTCGTTGTCCGATATCGGCCGTCCTGGATGTACCAGCAAAACCCAAAATATACCCTGAAGCACAGCCATCGACGTGGTGGCCGCATAATACAAAACTGATTGCATTCCGATACGCTTGCTGAGCGATAAGTCCAGTGATCCGATGGCCGACACGATCGAAGATACCAAAAGGGGTACAATGAGCATTTTGAGCATCCTGAGGAAAATTTCACCGGGAAATTGTATGTAACTGATTTCACGAGGGGTCCATCTAGAAAAGAAAAGAGCATCGCCGGCATTCCAATAATTAATTAGACATTTAAATTAACAACATTAATTTCGAATACAGATCGAAAATGAAGGCATACTTACTTCGTATCCGACCAACCCTTCAGTATGAACCCCAGAACGACACCCCCGACAACAGACGCTATTGTCAGAAAGGTGAGAAGATTGTGTGTGAAACATGAGTTTGGAGAATCTTGGGCAGCAATGGCCTGTTTACTGAGCCTTCTGCAGGCCGTACTCATACCGGGGCCGGGCTTCAGCGGCGACCTGAAATTTTAACACAATATTGTGGTTAATTGTATTTTATTCTATTATAAGAATTAAACAAATCCTATAGGAATGAAATTTATTGAACACAAATCTAATCGGTTATACTTTTTAACGATTAAATTTAGTCGAATAAAAAAAAATTGTGTTTAAATTTTGTTCACATCGATGAAATAAAAACATAACGATATCGCTTGTGTTATTTTGAAGTTAGGCATTGGGATGCCATCAACATTTTTTATTTATTAGGGAGATGTTCAATGTCTCTTGCAGATTGAAGTAGGGAAAATGTTATGGTACATGTGCAAGGGGTGTTCACCCTACCCTCAATAGTAAAAATTGTCTTTAGTCTCTTATTAATATTTATTTACAATATATAGTATATTATAGTATTTTTTTTTTTTTATAAAAATGAATAAATTGATAGAATATTACTCTAAATTTTCAGATAGTAATTATAAAAAATAGTTTTAAAGAAAGGTATCGATAGCAAAAACTCTCCATTAAGTCGTATTTAGTAATTATAGCTCTAAACATTTTCAATGATAGTTAATATTTGAATTTCAATCCAAATTTGAAAGAAGACTTATTAAGGTTCACTCATCTAAAGTTAAACAATAAGTTGTAACTTAATTTTTATTTAAAATACCATTAAACAATAATATAATTATTATCATTAAAACTTTTGAAATTTAAATAAAACTTTCAAAAAACTGCGGAAGTAGTTTACATTTTTCATGTAATAGTTTTCTTTAAAAACTATTATAAAAATTCCAATTTATAGTAATAACTATGTGAAGAGTTAGAACCACTTAAGATAAAATCCATCATCATTTAAAGATATATTTTATTTCAATTGAACAGGATATTAACACATTTCTAGACATACCTCTGCCCTGTATTGTTAAATTAAATAAGAAATCGTATAAAAAATTTGGCTATAATGTATTTGAATCTAAAAACACGTGACTTAACATTGTTTGCGAAACTTATTATTCTTTTAATTTATATTTTTAACACAAAGTACCAAGTCTATTATCGTGTATAGAGATTATAAATTGACGTTAGGTGAGAAGTCAACTCTGATAAAATAAATGAAAAAAAAAGTACCTATCAACAACAAAGTTTGTGCCCTAATTTAAACTCTAATATTAAACTGCCATTATGTTTTAATTAACAGCAATTGGTATTGCTACGGTTTAAAGCTAACTGATTCGGTTATTGAATACTCATTAGTAGAGCGAAGTGGAGTTTAACTTATGTAATATTTTCATTAATAATTCATGTATAATAAATATATAGGTGGTACACCTATACGTATCATCCATACGTAGAAAACCAACAATTATGACCTTCAACATCTTTTTGGTAGTTCCGAGATAGAAGTCTAACAACCGGCAACTAGTTTCGCATGTTATTAATTGAAGCGTCAAAGTTATTGTATATTATTTTACTGGCTAAAGTTCCTTTTATAGTTCTATTAGAAACTAATAGAAAAAGCGTTAGGCACATAAAAAAACTCTATTAAACCCACGTGAATATATATAATACCAATATAGAAAAACGTTTTTTTTCTCAATTAAAATTAATTAACGTTATATGTTGGAAGAACCTCGTTATTAAAACAAACACAATCGACATCTATAAATATTTCGCGCTGTTTTTCTCATAATAATAATGATTTGAAATAATGAATTTTTCAAACAAGTAAAAGTCATTAACTATAAGCGTCGATTGAATGTTTCGCGTTTAGTACATCAAATTGGAAATACCGCCAAAAAAAAAAATACTTTTAGTTTTTACGTAAATTTTGAAACATTGCATTAATAATAAAAATGTTGATTTATATTTTCGTTATTTTGAAATTAATCATTTTAAAATATGTCCAAGGTATTCTTTAGATCTGTTGGTAATGATGACGGGGTAATTGTGACGGGGTAATGATGACGTTTGTAATTATAGTGGTTTTAGATCACATCACCTGATAGTTATACAATGACATGTTTTGTAGATCAGTTTTTAATAATTTTTTTTTTTAGGACACAGCGTGCGACGAAAATGTTTAAACGAGAAAACGCATATTATACAACATTGCGGACGATTAAAAAAAACGCAGTGGGTTGTAGTGATCGCCATCACTGTCGTCTTTGAATAGATTAAATGAGTTGCTATTGTTATTACGAACGCACGTGAACGTGTGCCAATTATTAGTGCGATGGAATCATTCGGGCGAATCAATCACTAATAGTACGCGCATATTCATTTCCCGTTGTACAATTAGCTTCGATGGCATTAAAAACTTTACAGCAATCACGCAGATGACCAAACAATAGCACTGAGCGTTCCGAGCGAAACGCTCTACACTCGCACATGGGCAACAAGTCACGTGACTCTTGTCGACCGCATAGACAACCGGGAGCGCCTCCGATTGGACATCAACGCGGACGATGCGGCTGTCACAAGACCTACACGACCGCACTGAAGATTGTGGAGCGTGCAGTCAGTGCTAACCTTGGGTAGAAGACGTGCGGTCGACGTCCGTGACCCGGATGCACAGCCCCGGACCGGTTGCGAGTGGATAACTATCGGTAGTGTGATAAGTACAGCAGTGTACTTGAACAGCAAAGAGCACTTTTGATGCTGCCGGAGGCGCAACGTGCGGGCCAAAATAATGTATAGCCGTCATTCCGCACGCCGTCCATACCGATCCGACACAAGACTAGCGTATAAAAATTTAATTAATATTAAAATCGCGCATGGCTATACGCCTATGTAAATTTTGATTAATATTATTTACGATGCCTGTGGTAGCACCGGAGGATTACTCCACTCACCGAGAGTTATAATATTATAACGTGTGTCCTGGTGACGGTTAAGTACAATAGTGCACTCGGTACCGCGCGCGTCTCTAGATCACGGGCTCGTAGATATCACTTGCCGGGTACGCGCCAAGTCTATTGGCGCTGTCGATTGGGTCGTGCGGCCGTTGTCCGGTAGGATACGAATGATACTAAGAATATAAATTTATTTTCTTTTGTCGTTCTTACGTGTAACGACCACACTGGACGGCGGTATTATACGACACTGCTGCAGGACGATTACGTTACGAGCGTGAGACTGACACAACCGGTGGCCGGCGGTTCACGTAGCCGCGTCCGAGTTGACTTCTGGTGGGGGTTTCCCCGTGGTACCCCTTTCCTGTCGCCTCTTCACGTTTTGCCCGAGTTCAGCCGCGGCGTTTGCTGGGCCGACGGTCAATAGGTCCTCGGCAACAGCGGTGCCGGTAATCGCAATGTGTGCGCGTGAGTGTGTGCGAGCGATAAGGGAGATCGTTCACCTCCTGCCCGCGTGCGGTACGTCGGTAACGTCTCATTAATTGTCGTCCATAAACTGGCGTGTGAAACGTCAATTAATAATTAGGCCGGATATGCTGAACGATCCCACGGCGGCCGTGACGGCGACATAAGTTGTGTCAGCGGCAACGACACTGTCATCAGAACCGGCCGTCAATCAGTTAACGAACGCGCGCGCGTTGATCATATCATACACGGTATAATTATTACACGAATCAATTTAAACGCGTCCCCGTACCTAATCCCTCCGACCGTTGAGTTTGGCGCGGGACCGTCAAGTCGTAACTGCTTCGGGCCGCTTCTCCGGCACTGCGCTTTGTCGTCCCGCCGTCCCGTAAACAAACGTTCCAGCGATTGCGGACGTTGCCGGTGTACGCCAGCACTTGCAACGTCCGCTCGCGATGTTAAAATTACATTTGTTCATTGCGCATTTTCGACAAACGTTTGCAGATATCGTTATTTTCCTATCCAATACTCGAATATTTAATTAACGGATTCCGCCGTTTCTATATTTTTTACCGTTTTGACACCGTACATTCTCCACTCGGTATAATCCTTGTTTTGTTTTATTAAAACTATATATAAAACACATTGGTCCGCGCATGAAAAACAGTAATTATGTTACATCAATAGCGGTGCGAACTGCTTTCGTTATGTTCGCGATATTAGCTGCTATTGTTATTGTATTACAGTTGCGGTACGTTGTTATACTCACATTTCGGTTTCGGCTTCCGCTGCGTACATCACGTGTACTGAGCTGCTTACCGAATAAAAACACTATCACGACTTTCTGAGACGAGACGGATTCGCAGAGGCTTGCCAGGGGAGGTTTCAAGAGATCGGTTCACGCGTATGTTGTTTTTTTTCAATGAGTTTCGGGTGAGTGCGCGCACAGAGTCCGAGCGGCACGGTGTGTGAATGAAACGCGACTAGCACGCGGTCGTCGGGATGGACGCCGGGCGATCGCGTGTATAGGGCCGCACAATAGGTGGCGGAAGCGTTGGGCGCGGAGGCGGCTGTAGGTGCGGCTAAAACGCGCGCGTTTTGCATATAGATAAGCTGTGCGATAGTGTTTTAGAACATCACACACACACACACACACACACTCACAGATTATAGCGCAGTATACTAATTTCCGTAGTGGAGCAAGGCAAAGCTGTCGATACAGTTGTGAACGGGTTGCCGTCAGCTGTTTGCGACGGCTCAAGGACGCCGGTGCGGCCACGCGCCACATATCAGCTCTATAACTCTATCTATTTACTAGAGATGTCGGTGTTAACAGTAAATCGATCTGTAGTAGCTTGGAATATTTACTGGTCCAATTGATATACTGATTTCGGATCTTAAATTCGACCGTTACAATTAGCACAATACAATTTTCACTGTTTATTGTTTTGTTTCTAGCTCAATATTCCGTAAAAAATCTTCCTGTTTTGGAATTCACATTAAATCTAAAAGACAATCGAATGAAAACGTTTGCGCAGCCCTTATCGAATACATTTTGGATGTAACGTTTCGTACTATCCGTATTATTAATACGACTGGTTTAATAAAAACACTTAAGTTCAAACTTAAATTTTGTGACTTTTTTTTTAATTTTTAAACTGATTTAAACTGATTTTGTGACAATGGATGATTTCGACTACGGGTTCCCACTCTGAAAATATCCGCGGAGTGCCTTTTTGACACTTTTAGGTGGATGAAAAATTTACTAAGAACTAAGTTATAGTGCACTTTGTTCGAGTCAAGAGAGACGGCTGTGTCGTGTGTGGACCAATCGAGATCTGTTTTGGCGCAAACAATACCTGCGACCTTGTCTAGGCACTATTCTTTGAACAAATTCAGTGCGCTACATGCTAATCGAGTCGGCGATGGAACGATAATACGGTCGACATTTAGGCGTTCTGGTGTACAAATTATTATCATCTATCCCCGGCCGTGTGCATGTTGACCTAGAGCTGAGTTGTTTTTTAATTGCTACGCTGGACGAATATTGGCAATAACAGCAAACGCGTGGGCGGAACGGCCGGAGCACAGGAAATTAAAAACACTTCTGAACCGGCGGCGATTAAGTGCTGAAAATTATGATAGACACCAACCGCTAACCGGATGATCATTTTAATGCCCGTGTACAAATAACGGGCGCGGTGTTGGGTGACGGACAGTGTAGAAAAACAATAATTAGATGCGTTATGCAATTTCATTATGGCGTATCTTTTTATAACATCCCGGTCGACTTCCTTCCTTCAAGCAGTACCGATGATGATTCAAATCACCGTTTGTCAACCAAAGTCCATGTGACACCTTGACACGATTGTATCAATATTAATAATGGCCGCGCGCATTGCATTAGTATGTAACAGCACACACCCCGGCCGCTATTTAAATCATAATTAGAAAATCTCTCATAATACAACAAAACTGCAGTAGTTTTATTAGCATTATAACATAGTACACTGTGCTGTTATGTGTATACAGACCGTTTGCAGTATTCTTAACACAAAAGGTTGCCACTAACGAGATTCTTTAAGATGTTTTTATCAATATCGGTACGGATTTGTCTACTCAAAGCATTTGTAGAATAAAGACAACTACAATGTGAAACAAGTCTCATGGTCTAACGAGTGCAGGAAGGTGAATCGTAAGAACTCATCTAGCTTAATAGTTTGCCATTACCTTGAATAGTGTTACCTAAAAAAACAACATCATAAAAAATGATTGTATGTTGCAATGTTCTAAATAGTTAGGCGCTGCATGCAAACGGTATCCTATTGATAACGCAAAAAAATGTGTTCTGAATTTATCTCTAGTAAATTGAACATTAATCAAAATGCCAATTCAAGAACAATAAATTAAAAAAAATCATGTTTTATAAAAAAAATAGTAATTTTATAAAAATATACTAAAAAAAAATTAAAGTAAAAATAAGTCTATCTTTAATATCAGCGAAATTGATTACTAATTAAAACAAAATCAAATGATTAATTGGTTTTTAACATAAACAGAAATAAGTTCTTTGCGAAAAAATATTATTATTTTTAGAACTATATGTTGATATTAGTAAAACAATAAAAAGCATTAACGAGTTCCTCAATAATTTTTTTAATAATATTTTAAAGTGTGTTGTATAGTTTAAATCGACTTGTTAAAAATAAAAAACTTAACTACAAAATCATTAACTTGTAATTATTTTTAAAAATTGTTCACGCGCTGTATGTTATTAATTTATTATTTAATCACGTGAATTGATGTTGTCTCTCGGGTAATAAATCTTTTCTATCGTTGAAATAATTTAATAGATTATAATATTATTTATTCAGTGCAACAGGGTAAGTCTATACTGTTTTTTTTTTTTTTGTCACCAGAGGAGTTTTTAAGGGGAATTAATGGGATTTAAATCAACATAAAATAATAGTAGCGGGAGTAGTATAAGAGTGAATATATGTTCTAAAAAATATCTAGATCCCCACACATAATGTCTAGATACGCTACTATTTACAGTAATTATAATAGAACAATTAAAAATAATATTGCCTTGTACTTAAAGAAATAGTTTTTTTTATTTTTACTTTTTAACGTGTTTGATCTGAACTAGTCGCAGCTGTAAACATTTTTAATGTATCAACAAAAGATAAGATATAATTTTTGTTGACAAGAATAAGTACTTTAATATCTCAGAATTGTAATTATTAAATGATTTACAAAATTGCGCTGCGATAAAAACCATTCCTCAATTGTCAATTGGTATTAAATATCTTAAAGCATTTATATCTAAATTATTTATAACTAAATTGTTTACCCTCTTAAATAGTTTTTAAAACAATCAATAAATATATTAAGTATTTAATAATTTAATTATTTGTTATGATTAAAAATTAAGTTGATTTCGTTTAAACTATTGTAAGAACTTTATTGCAAACTTTTAATCAATTTTGCAAAACTTAATACACCCAAAACGTTGATACCAAAAATTTTATTTGGATTAACCTTATCATTACTTTTATTTTTTCATTAAATATCTAAAATTTTTGACTTCACTATAAAAGGATAACATTTTCCCTATAGTACATTTAATATATTGTTTGTATAACCATATAATTGTTCAACAGTAGTAAGACTTAAATATAATGCATACAAAGTGCTAAGTTCAGCCCTTGTAATATTTCTTTTTATCTTATATTGTTGCTGAGTTCATATNATGCATACAATGTGCTAAGTTCAGCCCTTGTAATATTTATTTTTATCTTATATTGTTGCTGAGTTCATATTTTATGCTATGATTAAGTATAAATGAAAAAATTCATTGACATTAGAGTACATTATTTTAAGAAAAGCGTGCAAAAAATACAACGCTCTGTTTTGTAACGAATTCCTGTATCTTAAGGTGAACTGTTAGATTTCATAAAATTTTTAATGTGTTAAATTTCAATCATATAATATTTTGATATTAATTCAAAATAATTTATGACTGTACTTTTATGGCGTGCTTAGTTCGATTCGATTTTTTACATAAATATAGCCATAATTTTTTTATGAGTTCATCAATATAATTTAAGAACTTATCTATATTGTATCTAGAATCGGTATAGTAGTAAAAAAATTTATAGTTTGATGTAGTCGCCGACTGCATTATATTTATTTACAGAGCGTTAGAAGTAATTAAGATTAATTTGTATTTTTACAAGTACTTTTCGTTATACCCGCTACTCTATCAAGTATCTCCCTCGCGAAATAAACAAAAACGCTGTGGGTATGTGAAACTATAAAAAA